TGTTGTTGTTAAGGAACTTGACATAATTTTATCCCTCTTGAACAGAACACAACAAAAGCAAAATACTTTATCTTTCTTCTGGGAGTATACTAACCATGATCTATCAAGTTTTTCCCCATTCGACAAAGATCGAGTGTAGAGGTTATCATTAAAACATCTACCTTTGTTGTTAATTGGATAAACAACATTGGTAACTCTAACCGACCCTTTCTCGACTAAAAAATCAATCTTTCTTTGAGGCATATTATCCTCCCAATTTCCTGGATCGAACAAATCGTCCAAATTTTCACAATTCATATCATGGTTAGCATTCATATCCACATTATCATTCGGATTCTCTAATTTATTTTTTTCTTCTTCAAAATTTTCATCCCCCCGATCATTATCATCTGAATCAATTAGATTTTGATCTCTCAAATCTCGACCAATTTCAATTACGGGTGTATCAAGTAATTCCGGCACAATTTCAGTAGGACCAAACACTTCAACTTCTACCACATGAGTTGTAGATTTTACGTACCTATCCATAGAACCAGCGAGAGATTTTGTTAATATCTCTTGCTTTTCTTTCTTTTTCCTTTTCGAACTTCCTGATTCGAATTTGCGTTTGTCCGTCATAACTCTTCTAGCAAACCTAGTCACATAAATGAATAAATTTAATTACAATACTAATTATTAAAAAATACAGTCAAATACTTATAAAAAACACAGGTTGGACAACTAATAGATTTATTTACAATACTAACAAATCTAATCATCCTCTTATTTAATAATAATAATAATAAAAATTAACTACATATATCAATATAGGAAAGCATAAATAATAATAATAATAAATAAATAAATAAATAAATATAACTTGTGCCACAGGCCCGCAATTCATGTGGAACAAACAATCAAAATTCTGTTATCAATGTTTTCAAACAATTTTAGGCTTGCTAATTAAGGTGACCATACCACAATTGAAAAAGTTAAACTTAAAGCAAAAGAAATTGATATAATATATTCGAACCAACCAGGCAACCTAACCTACCCTCCTTTTCAATAATCCCCACAATTCCACAAATTTATCAAACTGCAATAAATTTACAAACATACAGCCTTTTGTGTTACTTGATCATCGTATCAAAGCCGCTTGATGTTTCCAAATTCATATCAATTTCAAATTCAATATATAGACACACATAAACAGGAAAATATTTAGAAAATAGAAGAAGTTCGTACGAATTGATTGAGAAGATCAGCGGCGCGGAGACGTGTGAGTCTGCTGTGGTGAGGGCGGATGGCGTTGGCCGTCGAGCAAGTAAAATCCACGGCAGAATTTGAGAAATTGGGGTTTGTCGGTTTGATTTTGTGAGGCGAGTGTAAGTATCGGGCGCAGACCGTAGCAGAGCGGAGTAAAGACCTTTTAAATTTATGTAATGAATAACACAAATATATAATTTATAATATATATATATATATATTATATATGAGGCCCAAAAAAATTGGAGGCCCTAGGCTGGAGCCTAGTTTGGCTGGCCCAAAAGCTGGCCCTGATGTCTTGTTTTGGAAATTAATTACGGTTAAAGGGCCAACTTGCAATTTATGAATTTTTATTATAAGTATATTATAATACTTGATGCACATTTATAATTTATTGAAAGATTATTTCATGCACAATAATGATACATAAGATGCATAATATTGTTTATAGATGTGCACTTTGGAAAAAAAAAAACAAAAAATTGTCATCTTTATACGAAATTATTTTAAATTTATTAAATACTCAGATATTTTTTTATTAGTGAATTGCACAATATTTTTGTGTAGATATGCGATTTAAAATTAAAACATATAATCGAATCAAATTATAAAAGTTCAAATCAAAGAATTTTCATTATTGTGTAATATGATAATCATTAATGTGTAATTCGTCTAATGTCATTGTGCACTCACATACATTGTTAATTATTTGTTCCAACTCAAACTAATACCGAAGAGAAATAATTGGTTTATTCAACTGGTTAACTGAATTAACCTAATTAGTCTAAATGATTTAGTATTCATTATAAAAATATATAGTTAGTATTTTAACACTTATATTTAATATTTTATATAATTTCTTGTTAAAAAAAAAAGACTAATAATATGTCGAAATCAATATTACGTGTTCCAACATACAAACAAAACCTATGTAAACAAAAATAATATGTAAAATGGTAGTTATCAATGTGCAATTCGTCTAACAATATGATGCACGATGTTGTCGATATCGTGCATATTGAATCGACCGGACTTTTACCCCGAAATGAATAAAACCGAACATAATTACTTGGTTTATCCGGTCGGTTAACTGAATTTTCATAAATAATTGAAATATTTTGTTATTTATATTAAAATTATATTTAGTATGTTTATTTATTAGTTTTAGTTGAAATAAATAATATACGAAATATCGAAAAAGGATAAAGTGCAAGTCCGCAAAGACAAAAGTGCATCTAGTATAACATTAATGTGCAGTCTATTGAGCGTATGTTTCCCTTGGCCCAGTTGAAAAGCCTAACGTTTTTCATTGGATTCCCTAGGTGAAGTACCAGATTATGAAGTTCAAGATAGCCGCTACTTTATTACCCCAGCTGGAGACATCCAAGAGTTAGTGTTATACGTGCAGTCTATTGAGCGCATGTTTTTTATGTGCATTTCAATTTTGTGAAAAAATAATAATGCGCATTTTAATTAACTTTACAATGCTTTTATCAAATTATTTATATAATAAAAATATTTTTAGTATATATAATTTGTTATGATGTATTTTATATTATTGTTTGTTGAAAATATACACTATATACAGTTCAAATATAAATAATATTTTTTATATAGTTCGGTTGTTTATATTATTTATTTATTTTATAATAAATTCGTAATCGAACTGAAATAACTAATACTTTCATATTTGTTAAAATACACACTTATGCTGATGTGCATTATCTAACCAATTATGGTGCATCCGACCTAATACGATTGTGCAGCTCGTTTAAAACTATTATGTATCCTCAATGTGATTTTTTTCATGTGCAATTCAAACTGACAATGAACCTAAGTAACTGAAAGTATCTAAATAATTTATTAGTTATTTATTATTTATGTTATAAAAAGTAATTATTATTAAACATTTTATTTATTATTTTGTATTAGATATTTTTATATTATTTTATTGTTATTTATTAATTTTAATATATGTGTATAAAAATTAAATGGAATATAATATTTTTTATTGAATTTATATAAAGTGTAGATTTTGGCCAATGGGATTGAATTGCCATTTATGAAATTCTACAAAATTGCAGTGAAGTCTTTTGAATTTGTCAAATTCTCAGATACAAGCCCAATTTCATTGAATATGATTGGCTGGTCGTTGGAGCACATTTTGAGGTCATCGACGCACCTCACTGCCGCCGCCGCACGTCATACGCACACAGCTCCACACACACACACACACACA